TACCTCAAACTAACCTCACCTAGATGACAGCAAATTTGCAAAAATAGTTTTTAAAATGTTGGTTCAGATGGAATTTAAACCCAGAAAATATAAAGTTAAATGTTGAAATTTCTGAAGATGAAAATGGAAGCAAAATAACACAATTTTATTAGGTCTACCTGTTCAACTGCTTATTAACACGTAACTAATCAGTAGCATCTCAGTATATAAAAGGCATGTAGGCAAGGTGAAGGTCAAACTGTGCATCAGAATGAAGAAGAAAAGGGATTTTAAARTTTGAATGTGGCGTGGCTGTTGGTCTGAGCATTTCAGAAATGTCTGCTCTGCTGGGATTTTTGCACACAACCATCTCTAGGGTTTAAAGAGAATGGTCCAAAAAGAAAAAGAAAGAGAAAATGCCTAGTAAGCAGCGGTTGTGTGGATGCAAATGCCTTGTCAATGTCAGAGGTCAGAGAAAAATGGGCAGACTGGTTTGAGATGACAGAAAGGCAATGGTAGCTTAAATAACCACTCATTACAACCGAGGTCTGCACAAAACACTTAAAGCAGATGGGCTGCAGCAGCAGAAGACCACTCCTGTTAGCTCAGAACAAGAAATAGAGGAAGTTCACACAGATTTACACCAACTGAGATGGAAACAAATTGTCTGGACTGATTCACTGGAGCCTTCACAGTCACACATGAGCTGATCAGATGCATCTGTTTGTTTGTTACAGTTGTAAAGTTGTTTCCTGGACTGAAAACACTCAGAACCTGATAGAAGTGTGATTCAAGCAAAGTTGATAAAATCTGTTTCACAAATGAGATGTTACTATATGGGCTCTAGGACACTTAGGTAATGCAACACTTTCACACTGAGCAGCGAGGCCGATCCACCACAGAAACTCCTTCATGTAACAAACAACATGCTTCACAAACAAGTCTTTGATATTTTACTGAGACGGATGTGTAACAATAACAAAATAATTATTACGATTGTGGAATACTGTACTCCAGTACACTCTGTACACGTGATTAGTTACTTTGCAGACTCACTTTTACTCATTGGCCTTCAACCCAGTTGAGACTTGATTTGATTTAATTTTAGTGATTTTATGTTTTTATCTTATTTTCTTTTTAAATTTTTATCTGTTTTTAATCTTTTATTTCATTTTTGCTGGTGTTCAGCACTTAGTTCAGCTGTGGCTGGTGTTGAGGTGCTTTATGAATAAAGATGATGATGATGATGAACATCGACAATAAATGAACATGTGCAGGCATCAATCAAAGGTCTTATAAACACTATCTTTTAGGATTGGACTGAAAGATCTAAAAGAGATGAATCCTGACAGTTTCAGGTCCATCTGTAGGGTACTCTACACCATAT